GGCGGGCCGGGCTCGAGGGGGGCGGCCGGGCCTCTCCCCTCGGCCCTCGGCGGCGTCGCTGCGTGTCGGGGCGGCAGCGGGGGGGCCGCCTAGGGCCCCCGTCAGCCCGCTAAAGTGCTGCACGTAAAGCATTCTGGGTATTTAAAAATGTTGCAGTTTAATAATAAAATTGGAGGTGCCTGCCTTTGTGACCACAACTTATTCTGCAATTTGATGTTTTTTTAGGTTCTAACTGAAAACAAAAGACCTCAGAGGAGGAAGCAAAGAGTTTTAAAGGTAACCAATAATTGCTTTGATGTTTATACCCTCCCATTTTAAGCAGTCTTTTCTTGTCCTCTAGAATAGGAAATCAAAGGGTTAACTTCTGGGAAGCAGTGTTTTCCAGCTCTTCAGGAGATTAGCTAATTTTAAAAGCACAGAACATTTTCTTTTTTTTTTCTTTCTCTCTCCAGCATGTTGTATACATATTTGAGTCTTTCTGCACAAGTCTGCAGAGTAAAAAGTTTGCCTTCCATTGTATTGAAGATTCGCTTTAACTTCTTCTATTCCTAGTTTATTCCTTCCAAAGGTAATAATTGAATTTTGTTTTTTTAGTATACAGATTTTATGACATCTGGAATTAAGTGTGAGATGTCAATGTAATAACATAAACCCAGTTAATGAATTTGGAAATTTCCTGCCTAAATTACTTACTGTAGATGCAATTTCCTTTTTTCTTTAAGCTTTGCAACACCTCCCTCAAGTGAAACTGAAAATTTCAAAAACTTACAACAGTCTTCATGGCAGTACCTTTCTTTGAGAGTTTTAAGATGGCTATCTTTCATGATAACTTGATAACAAAAGACTGTTTCAAATTAAAACACTTTTTTATAACAAAATACGGTATTATTACATTTATAGCTTATTTTTAAAAATAAGCTAACAGGTAGTAGCATTTTTAGTTCATTATTTTGAATAGAAATAAGTTGTGACTTCTGTTCTTTCAAAACTAAAACATTGCAGGGTAGATGGTGCAAACTTACTATAAGATGAATTTAAAGAAAATGAGAGAAATGTTTAAACTCTTATTTTGTAGAACTCTTATTTTTATATCAAGTGCATCTAAATGATTTAAGATTTTTAGCATTGTTTGGGTACATTAAAAATTCAAAAGTTTTTGGACATGGTAGGTTTGATAAATGAATATCTGTAGTGTAATTTGTTTCAAAAACATCCCAGTTCTTAACAGTTTGTTTTCACTTCTGTACATTACAAAATTTGCTTAAAGGAGTTGCAACTTACTCAGTAAGGCAAAATGGAGTTAAACATTAAGGAAGGAACAAATAAGTGTATTTGACTTCCAAGTATATCCAGTCTGAGGGGTGTCTCTGTCTTCTTCTAATGTGGGAGTGGTTGTGCAAACCTCCTCTTTATGTGTTAACAGTTAACTCTGGTAATACAACACTAGCAAGTGCACTGTCTTTACTTCATCAAATAAATCCATCCATTAAAAAATTAGCATGTTTCATTGTCATGGAAATGCTTGTAATTATTTATTTTAATTACTGCTGCTTTTGCAGTATAGCACATAGGTGTAGTTAAAGCTTTAGCATTTGTTCATCATATATTTTGTGTAGTTAAGTACATATTAGTGTGTAAAATAAGATCTTTTTGTAAATGAGTCATTCAGTTTTATAAAGCGTAATTGGTATGACACCTGTTCTGGTGAAGTGTGGGGTTGTTTGTCTGTTTGTTTGTTTGTGGTCATAAGCAGATAACGTTATAGTAGGGGTTCGTAGAGTCTCCAGATTTCTCTCTTGAGTTCGTTTTACCACTGTGTTTGATTTGATGGCAGGGCAGGTTGCTATGTAATATGATGCTGTCGTTTCTTTCTTTTCCCAAAAGCTTCTTGAACAATTTTTTTTTTTCTTGGCTCTTAGATGGAAAGGCTTGTCTGTTTTTGTGTGTATGCGCAGTATCATATGTTAGTCATTGGACTTTTCTTTATTTTTACTTTGACTTTTCCTTCGATGAGTTGATTGTACAGTATTTCCTCTTTGGCTTTAGATACTGTAGTTTGTGTCTTTTAGTATTTTGTCTTTGTTGTGTGGTGCTGAATTGTATTTGGTAAGAGTTTTCACTTGCATACACCAAGAAAGGTGTCATTCCTGAATTTCGTGGAAGTGTATAGGTTGGGGATGCTGGGATTTTGCGTTTGGGGAAAGCTTTGGTCTTCTTAAATTAGGCTACATCTCTGTGTCAGCTGCAGTAAACTTATAAAAAAGCTACTTAATTTACAGACTTCTTCACAAGAGCATTTCAGAAATATGACACTCTGGTGTGTTTCTTTCGAACCTCCCTTCTTTTTTGGGTGGGATTGGCATGTAAACTAGCATTGTAATCATACCTATTGAGTTACAACTTCACCCTTTGATTTAATGATCAGTAGTGGTTGAGTGAATCCCACCCGTGACATGCTAAAAAATTAGACAGAGTATTTCCATTTAATGGCTTTTTAATGGCCACTGTATTTTGCCTCCAGTTTTACTGTAAAGTTCCTTAAAGAAGGATTTATAGTACTCCAATAATAAATGTAGTTAGCATTTCTCTAATTGTCCTAGGTTTTTATAGCCATTTATTCATTTACATGGATAGCTAGGATATCTTTCAGGTTATGCTTTTTAGGACCAGCAAATTTACAAAATCTTCTGTAAAGAGTTGAAAAGAAGCGATGCTTTCCTGTTGAAAATGGGTTGGACTGATATAAACATTAAGACTAAATGTGATACATACTGATGCTCTGTAACTTTTGTTTATTATTTATCATGTTCCATGTTTTGTTTTACTTTTCCTTACTGATTATTGTAAGAGGAGTTGTTTAGAAAATTCTTCTGTGCCATAAATATCCTATTAGGTTCTCCATGTTTATTTTGAATGAACATCCGAAATACTCATCATTTTTAGCAAGCGGATGATCATTGAAGAAAGAATCAGTGCAAGTTCATAGAAAAGGGTACTAAGGAAAGAATACTTAAAAATAGTTTATCTTGCTAACCTTGTATGCCTTCCTCAGTTAAGCAGACACCTCTTGTGCTTTATTCCTGTTAATGGAAAGTCTGTGCAGGAGGGATTGGTACTTAACATTCATTTGCCTTCATTTCAAAAGACATATTATACACTCTGCTTCACTTACATAGTAATACCATTTTCCTTTTAGCCCCTTAGCAGTTTCTCTCACTCAATTTGGGCAGTGCAGTGCACCTCTCCTTAACAGTGAGGAAATGTTTGCAATCACACACAAGTTTATAAACACAGAGCTCAGAAGAACAAGATAGTTGAACGTGGCAACGTATTGGCAGGGAAATCTACAGTTACCAAGTATAGTTAGCAGTGAAACCAGTAAGGAAATCTCCCGCAGATCAAGATACAACTGATGAAGAAATACAGCCCATGGTCTTTCTACTAGGTTCTGCGGAGCCAAGGCTACCATTTGAATGGCTGCAGATGTATGCTACCTTGATGGAGATTTAAACAAAAAAAAGTGGAGGGGGGGGGGGGGGGGGGAGAGAGACTGTGAGAGATCCACAATAACATATGCAGTACTAAGTGAGTATTATAACTGCATGCACATTCTTTGTTCTTTGACTGATTTTGTGTATGCGTTTATGCATAAACACCATAATGGTAATCATGTGTGCCAAGAAAGTGCGAACGATGCCTGTTAAACTGTGTAAGATCAGTTCAGTTTAAGCCAAGCCAGAAGCCAAAGATGACTTGATATCTAGAACTTTCAATTTATTTGTAAACAAATACATCATATTAATAACTAGTAAAAGTCATATTTCCCTGAAAGTTATGGATATGTACTCGAGTACTTTCTTAATTGTTCTCCACGCGTACAAAATGTAGTATTTCTCATCAAAACCCATTTTCAAAGATGAAGGCAGTATGGCAGACCTGCTGTTAGCTCTTTTTACATTGAAGTTTTAGTTGTGCTGTTTAAAGAAATTAAAAACACACTTTTTAAAGGTCATATATGCACTGACAAGAGTTAAGAAAAGCAACTGCTAACGTCCACGATCGTGCTTTGAGTGAACTCATTGGACTGTTTTTGAACATTTATTCTAATTTATGATATATGGTATAAGTTTTTAGTGCAAAATGTCTGCCAGGATACTTAACTGGAAGTAATTCATTTTTATTACTCTCCCCCTCCCCCCCTTTTTAAATGACATATCAACAAGTCAATGGATGGAATCACACTACAGTGGAATTTTACAGACGAAGAAGACAGAATGGTGTAATATGAGTTGGAAAGGATGTTGTGCGGAGAATACCTATCTTGTGTTTTGTGTTTCTTAAAGGGATATTATCATCTTGAAATCTATCCATTTAAAAAATACCAATTAAAATTGATTTGAGTACTGATTGAAAATGTCTGCCTGTTTATTTTGTGCCTTTTTGTTTTGGTTTGTTGTTTTTTTTTTTTGATAGGAAAAGTTCACTTTTGATATGTGAGTGGCCCACGCAAATAAGTCAACTTTATTTTTAAAACAAATAAGGAGTTCCTTGGGTAACTTAGTTTAAAAAGCTAGGTAATATTTTTTGAAAGAAATAAGCTTTTAATTTTGTCCTATTTTCAAACCAATAATGTGTCTAAATGGGATTTTTTAATTTTATTTTATTTTTGTCTTTGATAGGCCTGTGCAGCTCACTTGAAATGAGCAGGCATGATTTTAATTGTAATTTAGAACCAGACTTCTACGTGCAGTCTTTCTAGCACATCCACATGGGTAACCATATTTCGTTTGTATGGTACTGTTAAGACTTCTTATGTATGTAGGCATTTTTGAATGGAGTCCAAACAAAGAAGGGCTTTACAAAGGCTCTATAGTTTATTAATCCTACTCCAGTAATTTTGAAATTTTGAATGAAAGGAATCAGAAATATCTAATAAGTGTTATGATACTGCTAGATCGTTTGGATGTGTGATTGGTGGAGTGTTGGGGGGCCATGGATAATTCTGTCCAAGCTGCTACTTTGAGCCCATTTTGAGGGTAGTTGAGATCCTGTGAACTCTACCCTATGGTGCTGCCTGTGTTGAGATGGGTAGGATGCAGAGATGCTCTTCTTCCCTTGTTCCCCCTGTTTCTGCAGAGCTCCCTTCGGTGCTACTCTCTCTCTCGTCCACTTCTCGGGACTGCTGTGCTACTTGCTGAATAGCACCATCCTGCTACTCTCTTTTCCCCCCTTCAATCTAACCTCAAAAAATGCTGGGGGAAGAAAGGGATGCTGTC